CCGAACTCATTCTGAGGTCAGAATTACCTTGACTCTAAAACATAACATTATGGATTTTCTCAGAAAATTGTCAACAAAATAGCAGCACCAATTCTGGTAGTTCACGGAGAGGACTGTCCATCCTGATTATGCCTGGGCAGGGAAGGATAAATAATCCAAACAGACTCCTGGGAAGTACCTGCAAAACCACATAGCACTTGCCTAGCATGTCAGTATTCATCTAAGAGCCCTGGAAAATGTGGTTCAGCTCAACCTATGGAGTGATGGAGAATATATATGGTCCACTTCAGGGTAGGCAACCAGATCTATATGACTGAGTCCTAACAATACCTCAGGACCCTGTTTTCAAGTAGTGTCCCTGGCTGGCGAAAAGCTACTACATAAACTTCCACCCATCTCTGTTGAGAGATGTAAGTGAGGGACTAGCAAGATGGCTCAGTGGACAAAGGTGGTTGCTGACAAGCCTGACTAATGGAGCTCAATACCAAGGACCTACACAGTAGGTGAGAACCAACTCCTGCAAGTTGTCCTCTGACCTCCACACATGTGCTGTGGCACATGTGTTCCCCTCCTCCAAGTAAGTAAAAATTGATTAAAAACATGTTCTAAAAAGTAGCAGACCCAATAACAGGAAGCATTGGCCTGGCATGCTCCCAGGCCACCCTGTCTGAGTGTCTCCTTCCTTTATTCTACCTGTGCCTTCTGATCTGATAATAGCTGTTACTACGTCCCTTCAGTAAAATAACAAAGGGTATTCTTGGAGGTTCTGAAACTTTGCAATGATCAAGTGGAATTTATCCCAGGAAAGTATGATTAATTTAATGCCAGGAACAAAGGACAGAAGCTGTATGCTCTTCTCAATGAATGCACAGAAGTACCTGACAAAATCCAACATCCTCTGATAGAAAAAGCAGAGCTCTCTCAAATTGATAAAAGGCATTTACAACACACACAGCTAGCATCCCACTTCAATGGTGAGAGACTGAAAGCTTTTCCTTTACAGTCAGGAACAAGAGAGACTGCTCTTACCATTTCTATATTAAATACTGTAATGGAGGTTCCAGTTAGGACAACTGATAAGAAAAAGATGTTAAAGAATTCCAAGTTAGAGAAGTAAAAACAAAAACAAACTCTTGCACATAGAAAATGCCATGAAATCTACAAAAACGTAAGAGCTACTAAGTATATGGGCTCAGGAAGGTGGTAGCTTACACAATTAGTAAGCAACATCCACTGTATCTACACAACGTGAAGAGGAAGCTAAGGAAACAAGTGCATCTGCAGAAGCATCGAAAAGAACAAAGTAAGCCAGGAGTGGTGGTACATGCCTTTAATCCCAGCACTCGGAAGGCGGATCTCTGTGAGATGGAGGCCAGCCTGGTCTAAATAGCGAGAACCAGGTCAGCTACGGCTACAGGAAGACTCTGTCTCAAAAAAACAACACAACAAAAATACTTAGGAATGTGTTCAAGTAAAGAAGAGCAAAACATGACACTGAAAACTGCAAAACATAACTGAACAAAGTTAAAGAAGATGCAAGTGTTTGGAAAACATCCCCCATATGGCTAATGGTGAATATGGCTGTCAACCTGACAGGATCTAGAATCATCCAGGAGACAGGCCCCTGGGCTTGCCTGTGAGGGATTGTCTACACTAGATTACCCTCTGAGCACATCAGTGAGGGATTTTCTAGCTTAGGTTAACTGAGGTGGGAAGACCCACCCTAATTGTCCCACAAATAAAAAGGAGGAAGTGAGCTATCAGCACTTATCTCTCTCTGTTTCCTGAATGTGGATGCAAAGTGACCACCTGCCTCATGCTCTTGCTGCCCTAACTTTCTCACAGAGGTGGTCTGTACCCTCTGACTGTAACTAACTTTCTCACCGAGGTGGTCTGTACCCTCTGACTGTAACTAACTTCCTCACCGCGGTGGTCTGTACCCTCTGACTGTAACTTTCTCACAGAGGTGGTCTGTACCCTCTGACTGTAACTAACTTTCTCACCGAGGTGGTCTGTACCCTCTGACTGTAACTAACTTTCTAACCGCGGTGGTCTGTACCCTCTGACTGTAACTAACTTTCTCACCGCAGTGGTCTGTACCCTCTGACTATAACTAACTTTCTCACCGCGGTGGTCTGTACCCTCTGACTGTAACTAACTTTCTTACCGCGGTGGTCTGTACCCTCTGACTGTAACTAACTTTCTCACCGCAGTGGTCTGTACCCTCTGACTATAACTAACTTTCTCACCGCAGTGGTCTGTACCCTTTGACTGTAACTAACTTCCTCACAGTGGTGGTCTGTATCTGCTGACTGTAAGCTGAAATAAACCCAACTTCTTTAAGTTACTTTTGTCAGGCACTTAATCACAGCAATAGAAAAAGTAAGTAATGTGTGTCTTTGTTTATATAAAATAAGATTTAATATTCTTAAAAAAAAAGATTTAATATTCTTAAAATGGCAATATTCTCTGAGGGCTAATTCTATGTATTAACTGGAATAGGCCAGGGGTGCGCAGATACTGGCTAAACATTATCCTGAAGTTGTTTCTGGGTAAGATTAACATTTGAATCTGAAGAATAAGAAAAGCAGATTGTGCTCTCCAATGGAGATGGGCCTTAGCCAGTCTACTGATGCCTGACCCATCAAAAGTCTAAGCAAAGGAGCTAATGAGATGATGAGATGGCTCAGTAGGTAAAGGCATTTACCACCAAGCCTAATAATCTGTTCAATTCCCTGGATTCACATGTGGAGAGAAGTGACTCCTGGCTTGTGCCTCTCCAACCCTATCACACAAAATAAACAAATGTAAAAAAAAAAAACCATCTAAGCAAAGGACAGAGGGTTCTCTGTGCTCAGCAGCCCTAGTGCCCAGGCTCTGCTCTGCTGCTTTTGGACTCAAGACTTGGATAGAGCTCACGCCATCTGCTAGGTCTTTAGCTTGCCACGGTAGATCTGGGGACTTCTTAGCCTCTACTATCAAGAGAGTCAACTCTTTAAAGTCACCTATCTTCTCCCCTTACTATTCTCCCCAATCTACTGTTTTATTCCTCTGCAGGACCTTGACTAATACACTCTTTAAATGAGTCCTATTAAAATCAAAGCTGGCATCTTTGAAAAATAACGCACAGATGCTGAAATTCAAGTTAATTCAAGGGATCCAAAATAAAGACAATTTTGAGAAAGAAGGGGAAAACAATTGCAAAACTGATAGTTCCTGTAAAGATATAGACATCCGAGCAGGGTGATAATCAGATGGAGTATAGAACCCAGAATCAAGCCTCCTGTACTGGTGAGGTGACTTCTGTAAAGGGTCCTAGACAAGTCAATAGCCAAAAATCTACTCAAATAATGCTGAGTAAACTGACTGCCATATGTCAGAGAATGAAGGTGCATCCTAACATGTATACAAATAAATTGACTCAAAATAGATCAAATACCTAAACTGAAGGGCTGAAATTTTAAGACTCTTAGAACTAATCACAGGGACAAAAAAGTTTCATGACACGGGATTTGGCAACAATATTTGGCTATGACACCAAAAACACAGACAGCAAAAGGAAGGACAAAGCGGACCTCACAAAGAGCAAACTGTGTATTAGGGACACTGATGGCAGAGTGAAAAGGAAATCCACAGAAGGAGACAGAATACTTGCATATCAGTTATTTGATAAGTTATTAACATCGAGAATTAAAGAACTAGATCTTAACACCTATAAACATCCCAAATAGAAATAAGGACTCAGGCTGGTGTGATGGTTAAGAGAATTTGCTTTTCTTTTTTTATTTTATTTATTTTTATGTATATGCATGTATTGCCTGCATGTGGGTAAGTGCACCTGTGTCGTGCAATGCCTGCAGAGAACAGAAGGGGCTATTGGATCCCCTGGAACTGGAGTTACGGACAGTTGTTAGCGACCATGTGGGTGCTGGGATTCAAACCTGGGTCTTCTACAAGAACAGCCAGTGTTCTTAACCGATTAGCCATCTCTCCAGCCCCGAGAGTTTGCTTTTCTTGAAAAAGATCCGAGTTCAGTCCCAGAACCCATATCAGGTGGCTCACAACCACCTGTAGCTGCAGCTCCAGGGGGTCTGACCCTGCTGGCCTCTGCAGGTGCTTGTATTCATGTGCACGTTACTCTTGACCCTGACACATACGTATACATAATTAGAAATAGGAATTTTTTTTTAAAGGATTCATTATCAAGAGAAAAGATAATCTATGCCATGAGAGAAAACACCAGTGAATAATATATCTGATAAAAAGAACTCCTATAATTCCACAACAAAAAAGAGAACCCACTCTAAAAATGGGCAAAGGACTTTAATAGACATTTTACCAAAGATGAAAAATGGCCAGTAAGCTTACGACGAAATGCTCAATTCCACTAATCATTAGAGAAATGCCAAACAAAGAAAGAGATAATACTTCACACTCATTAGGGAATCTATCTACAAAACAGAAAACAAGTGTTGGTGAGGGCTAGGGAATGCTAAGCCCTTCTACACCGCTGCCAGGAAAGTAAAACGAGGCAGCACTGTAGGGGTTGGGAGTCCTCAGCAAGTTAAACATGGATGTACCATGTGTTCCAGAAACTGCAATTCCCTCCCTAAGCAGGCAGCCAGAAGAGCTGAGGGCATACTCCCACAGAAGTTAAATGCAAATGCTCACAGTAGCATTATTCTCAATAGCCAAGTGGAAGCACCCCAATGTCCATCAACATGAATGACAGCCATGAGAAGCAATGAAATATTGACATGTTACAACATGATGAACCTTGAAAACAATATTCAAATGAAGAAGTTAATCAACAAGAATACACTATTCCACATATAGGAATGGGAAAATCAGAGACAGAAAGCAGGTTGTGTTTTCCAAAAGAGGACTTAAGTTCTGGGCTTCTCTGAGGGGTGCTGGGAATATTCTAGTACTAGGTAGCAGTGATGGTTACACACTTCGTGAACATAGCAAAGCTCCTATTGGGGCAGCAGTGTCCTCACCTGCTCATAGATCTCGATGGCTTTCTGGTACTGTTCCAGCTGCGCAGCGTACGCTGCTACCTTCAGCAGACACTTGTTGGCTGAGCTGAAAGCAGGAGCAGTATGCAGTAAGTGACAATCCCAAGGAAACTAAAGACTGTTTGTGGCCCCAGGACACTAACATCTGGCACAAAGATGCTCAGAGTATGAAGATGAAATGTCCTTCATCACATAGGAAAACCCCACTTATCAGTATTTAGGAAAAGGACTTGCCTGTTGGATTCTTCACCTTTGTAATAATCAGCAGATTGTTCATAATGTGCAATAGCCTGAAAATACAAATAACATACATTTTCTTTAGCAACAATTTATTCAAAGGATTGCATTTAAAAACTACACATGGGGGCTGGTGAGATAGCTCAGTGGTTAAATGTGCTTGTTGCCAATTCTGACAACCTGAGTTCAATCCCTGGAACCTACAAGGTGAAAGGAGAGAATCACTTCCTGTCAATTGTCCTTTGACCTTGCATTTGTGTCATGGCACACAAAATAAATAAATGCAATAAAAAATTTTAAACTGCATGTGCACAGGCATTTTCTCTGTAAGTCAGCTTATTCCAGTGATACTACTTCAGATGGGCCTCCTCAGTGAATTCAGGAAAGCAAGTGCCCCTGAGGCCTCCTTGGGGCAGAATGCTTGCTATCAGAACTGCCCCTCCCTCCCTATCCAGCACACAGTCTGTTACACCAATTCCCAGCTTCCACGGCAGTCAGGGTGGCCATTGCTTAGCTCTCTGATAGAATGTAAACAGACATCTTACTCTGCACACTTCTCTAGAGCTCTGCCACTTCCACAAGCTAGAGCGGCAGAGATCAGGTCTAGAGTGAGGATGGCAGAAGTCTGGCTACCTGTTTCCTAACCAACCCTTCACCTTAGGGTACCCATCACTGCCAAGGCAGTGCCATACCATACACTGACCAAATCCCCTCCTGTCCCTTCATTAACCCCCACACCAGAGATCAACTGTAGACTCTGCCTGCCCACACACGCATGCACTGCCAATGCAGTGGCCATGACTTGATCAAGACCAGAGCCTCCTGAGAATGAGGGCAGGGGTTGTGGGGGAGAGGATGAAGGGGGGGAGAAGGAAGGAGGGAGGAAGGTGGGGGAGGGAGAGAGAGAACAGCATGCAGCAAATGCAGGCTGTGTGTGTTCAATAACCAACAACAGGTTAGCTATCAGTCCCACCAGTCCCCAACAACAGTCTCAGACACTACCCTGACTCTTGTCTACATCAAGAGAGGTGACATGGTATGCATATTCTACAATTATTTGTTTAGGACCTACTACGTTCTGGGCCTTGGAGTCCATCAGAAAGGTAGAGGCAGGCTAATACGGTGCTGACATGGCACTGAGTCCAGAAAAAGGAAGGAGACACAAACAGCAGAATGACCAGCAAGCACATGCCACAGAATAAACTCCAACATGTGGCTGTAAAACGGGGATAAAAACTGAGTGAGGAGTGGGTGGGAAGGGGGTCATTTGGGTGTCTTGAGGGGCTGAGGTTAGAATCTTAACTAGGGTGGTCATGAAGACAGAAAAGGCTCCAGCTGTTCCTCTGAGTGAAGGGTGTGTCAACAAAAGGCTCTAAGCAGTGGGTATACAGAGTCTGACAAGGCTCACCGTGGATAGACAGTCTGACAAGGCTCACCGTGGATATAGACAGTCTGACAAGGCTCACCGTGGATGTACAGTCTGACAAGGCTCACTGTGGATATACAGTATGACAAGGCTCACCGTGGATATACAGTCTGACAAGGCTCACTGTGGATATAGAGAGTCTGACAAGGCTCACCGTGGATATACAGAGTCTGACAAGGCTCACCGTGGATATACAGTCTGACAAGGCTCACCGTGGATAGACAGTCTGACAAGGCTCACCGTGGATGTACAGTCTGACAAGGCTCACCGTGCATATACAGTCTGACAAGGCTCACCATGCATATACAGTCTGACAAGGCTCACCGTGGATATAGAGAGTCTGACAAGGCTCATCGTGGATATACAGTCTGACAAGGCTCACCGTGGATGTACAGTCTGACAATGCTCACTCACCGTGGATATACAGAGTCTGACAAGGCTCACTGTAGCTACTTTGCTACAAGAAGGTCTGGGAGGAGGGACCAGAGAGCACAAGTGGGAGACCAGCTAGGGGGCTCTGGCAATGATCAAGCGAAACTGAGGGCAAGGCCATGAGAAGAGCTGAGGCTCGGGAGTAGTGAGCAAAGTACTGGCAGAAACTGTTCAGAGGCTGATGGGAACTAGAGAGAACCTAGCTAGCTAAAGACGTGGGATCCAAGTGGAAAAGCTGGCAGGCAGGACACTGATACTGAAAGCAGAGTGGTGGTGTAGACTTCTTTCAGTTTCCTCTCCAGAGCCTCAGAGAGATGCTCTAGACATCTGGAGGGTCTTCTGACCATACTAACATTCTGGCATGAACCAGGCCCCACACAACAGGTGGGTTGGGTAAATATGAATCTGCTGTCATGTCTTAGACATTTCACAAGAATTTTACTCAACCATGCCTAGGAAGTCCCCTGGAGGCCAAATGTGATGATTCTGCAGCACTCAAGTCAGCTAGCAAAAGGGAGGAGAGGATGCAGAGGCCAGGAGTCCACCTGCTGCAGCAAATTCCTGGGGCATGCCAGTGCTCACCTTCTCAATGTCCACAAGCTCCGTCTCATAGATCTCAGCAATAGTGATGTGGTGCTTGGCTGCAATTGTAAACCTTCCCTAGGGGAGAGAACAGACTCATATACCTGCTTTACCTATGTGCATGCCAATCAGTGTGGGAACAGGGAAAAAAAAAATACAGCTCTAGGGTATCTCAAGGACTCCACCCCACAGCCAGTCAAGCAATGCAATGTCTTACCATGTCTGTGTAAATGTCGATGGCTGCATTTAAGCAGTTGATAGCCTCTGAAGCGTAGGCATTTAAGAAAAACAATGAAAAAATCCATTCAGTGAAAGAGGGTTCAGGAGAGCCTGTTTCCTGGTTGCTACTGATGGTAACGAGGCACAGTTTGGGGTGGAGGGTTGGCAAACTGGTTAGTGGGAAACAGACACAATCACACACACTCCGGATTCATTAATGTGGCTTTGTTCCCGACAGCTGCACTGTAGTTTAAGGCAGTGTGGCTGCAGTAATACTGGCTCAGTGACTCTTAACCTTAAAGTAAGGGCTCCATTCAGGCAGAAGACTGTCTTAAAAAGAAAACAAGACCATGGGGATTGTCCCCAACACTGATACATTACATCTGCTGCTACAAAGGCAATCTTCATTAGTATCATGCGCACCTGTATTAACTTTAGACAAGGATATCACATTTACAAGAAAGACCATTTCAATAGTCTCCATTCTTCATGCAGCCAACATCAAAAGCACTGTGAAATGCCTGTTCAGGTAGCTCTTAAGGCAGCTGTGAACAGTGTGCAGATATGCTAATTTTGTATACTAACATATTCATAAAAGGAAGAGAAAAGTTTCCTAAAACAGTGAGCCAAAAAAGTTTTCTCTATCACAAATGGTGATATTCATACAGCTGCTGTGTTTGCCAGCACCAAGTCTGCTTCGGGTTGGAAGGAGGCAGCGGTGGAAAGGCACTGAGGGAGTAGAAGGTGAAGAGAATGACAGAAATTAAAAGTGCTTTCTCCCTAACGATATAAAAGTGCAGGCTCACTGTTACACTTTAGAATTATAGAAACAAAGGGAAACCGCTTATCCATAATCCTGCTTGTATTTCGGAGCTTTTCCTTCCAGTGTCTGGATGCATGTCTGCAAGCACAAGCCTTTTTCTGAAATTGAGATCTTACGACATTCAGGCTCATGTGGTTCCTTAGTTACCATGTGAGTATTTACCAGGTCACTCAAGAGTCTTTGAAACCAGGGACTTTACAGGGTCTCACTATGTATCCCACGATGGACCAGAATTCCCGATCCTCCTGCATCAGTCTCCCAAGAGCTGGATCTGGGATCTCAGGTGTATACCACCATACCCAGCTCAAAACCAGGGATTTTATTAATTTTATTTTGGAGACAGGGTCTCACTATGTAACCCTGACTGGCTTGGAACTCACTATTTGGACCAGGCTGGCCTCAAACTCACAGAGCTCTGCCTGCTTCTGCCTCCCAGATTGAAGGTATGTGTCACTATGAATCTGGCTCAGGCATTTAAATACTGAGGCATTATCTGTCTACCCCACTACCTACCTCTCCTGTTCATATCAGCAATACCCAATTTCTCGCTTTTGGAACTATGATTAATCTCTGTATTTCTCTTTATGATATATTCATAAAAGTTTGAGTTTGTGTATGTTAAACAAAATAGCCTGCTAACAGAAAAGAGGAAGACTCGAAGATATCCACATACATGTATGGGAGGAAGGGTGTTAACACTTTTAGTCAGTTGTTAAGCACATTCCTCTCTAAAAGGATTTAACATCTGCACAAATTTTGCTACTTTAATGTCCAATTTCATTCCTTCTTCAAAACAAATGCTTTAAAAAGAATTTAAAAATGAACATCAAAAACAAAAACAAGAGTGGTATGTGACTATGACAGGCTTTTAACCACTAGAAACCACAATCTCTCACTAAGTAAGGCATACTTAGTAAGAAAAGAACAGTAGAATTTCCTTATTAGTTCAAGAACATATTTCGTAAGGTTGAGATGCAGGCACCTGGCATGGTGGTGCATACCTGTAATCCTGCACTTAGGAAGTAGAGACAAGAGAACTGTGAGTATGACGCCAGCCTGAGCTATAGCATGAGAAATGGCCTCAAACTCCCCTCAACTCCTCCAAATCGAAGTTCTTCATTAAAATTAAAGGCAATTTCCAGAACAGTCACTGAAATGTTTTATAAATGTAATTTGAGAAAAGATATTAGGCAGGTGTGGGAGGTGCACACCTTTAATCTCAGCACGCAGGAGGCTAAGGCAGATGGATCTCTGAGACTGAGGCAAGCCTGGTCTACATAGTGAGTTCCAGGCTAGTCAAGGTTACAGGGAGATCCTGTCTCAAAACAATAAACAAACAAACAACAACAACAAAAATGCTAGTGACCACTAAACAGGGTAAATTTCAAGTATTTTTTACTTCATAAAAGCCCTGTAAGTGATTAAAGAATAGACATTCCTGAAGTTACTAAAATTTCTTTATTACCCCATAATACAAGAATTCTTTATTTCCCAGACTCAGACAGACAGCACACCAACCTGGACACCACAGGAAGCACCACTAGTCAGTGCCCAGGGCTGCCAGTTGCCTTACCTTGAGGATCTGCCTTCTTGTAAGCGTTTCCAGCATCCACGAAGCTGGTAGCAGAGTCGTGCTTGCTCTGAAGCTGCATGTGGAGCTTGGCGGCTTGACAAAATGCATTTCCTGCAGCTGGAGAAGATGCCACAGTTGAAGAGTGAGGAATAAGTCTTCCAAAGAACAGACTAGACCCCACATGGAAAAGGTTCAGGTCCCTGAAAGGCTGCTTTGCAGGCGGAGGCTCACATAGGTCAAGCACATCTGGGTGTCTCTCACCTCTCCCTGTCAGCTCCAGCGTACTTGCCTAGCACCTTGGACACCAAGCCTTCTTCCTCTAGCCCAGCACTCCGTGATAACTGACAGTCAAGACGTGGGCTCTTCAGTTTGGTCCCACACTGTAAGATTAGCTCGACAAGGGACGTCCAGCCATAAACAGATAAGGAAAGGCAAAGTACCAAAGCTAAGGATGTTCGTCTACTCATTTCTTAATCTTGTGTCCACAACACTCAGGTGCCACTGTTGCATTTGTTCAACTAGGAAAAATTCTACCGAAAATGTCACAAAAGCTTTATGTTTAAAATCATTTGGGGAGATTAGGAGTCACTGAGACAGGGTCTTGTCCTGTAGCTCAGGCTGGTCTCAAACTCAAGGTCCTCCTTTGCCTCAGCCTCCCAAGTATTGGGATTACAGGCATGTACTACCACACCCAGCTAGAGAGCACAGGTCAATGTTTGAAATACTTGATCCCCAGCTGGTGGAGCTATTTTAGAAGTTCTAGAAACTTTAGGAGGTGGACCTAGCTGGAGAAAGATCACTGAGGGCTTGGAGGCTGTCAGGGTCCACTTCTTTCTCTTGCTTCCTGTCCACAATAGGGTAGAGAAGAATCTCTCCTACCATACACTTCTAAAGCCATGACATTCTCCCTAGGCACAAGGGGTCAAGCGACCATGGACTGAGTTCTCTAAAACTGTGAGCTAATTCTTTCCTTTGTTAAGTTGCTCTTCTGGGTATTTTGCTCACAGCTAGCGACAAGTACTAACAACCACAAAGCAGTAGGCACTGCTGAGGCTAAGCATTTGCTTTAAATTTCTTCATAAGAAATAAAACATCCAAGTCCATGAAACTTTCAGCTGCATCTCTTGTCCCAACACACTCTCGAAAGGCATCGACTTAATTCCCACAAGGACTTCTGAGCATCACTCAAGGGAAAGAGGTCATACAAACTCTGATAAAAGAGTACACAAGCAAGTTGGAAAACATTTACCAACATGACACAGGTGTTGCTATGATCTGAATGTTACCCCTAGCCCCCATGTCCCGGAATCTAATACCCAGTGTCACAGTATTACCAATTAGAGCCTTTGGGGAAATGATGAAGTCACGAGTGCTCCACACTCATAAGTGGAATTAGCACCTTTATAGAAGAAGCTGAAAGAAGCTAGCTGCCTTGCTCCCTCTGCCATGTGGGATAAAACGAGAGGATGCCATCCTACAAGTAGAGAGCAGCCCTCACCAGACACTGAATCTGCTGCGCCCTGATCTTGAACTTTTCTAATATAGCTCTCTCTCTCTCTTTTTTTTAATTACCCAGGCAAAGGGACTTTGTTTTAGCAGCAGAAAGGCCTAAGGGAGACACTGACCAGTGAGTGATGTGGCATTGGGTAGGGCAGTAGCTACCTACCTACAGGAAAATGTTAGTTGACTAGCAGCTTTGATGGACTCCAGCTTGGAAGAATATAGTAATGGCTTGGCCCTAACATGAAGTACTTGGAAGGGCCTGGTTCAGGGTGCACTGATGCTGGGCATTTTCCTTACTGCATATAAATCTCTCCTTAGCGCATTATTTCAATGACATTGTTTCCTTACAACTCCTGACAGCATTTCACTTTCCACTGTTAGTATTGCCCATCGCAGAACCAACCACAGCCTGTCCTTTTCCTGCTGAGGGTAGCAGCACAGAAGCCAGGCTCTGGCGGGCCACCCTGTACCTCCAAGACAACAGTAAGCCACAAGAGGGGGCACTGCAGCTTTACATTTTTATGCCAACTTTCTCAGACCAGCTGCTGCTGATGCTTACTTTCTCACCTGAAACACACATTCCAGTCACAGCTGCCTAATGCCAGCTCAACCTCTTCAAACTTGGAAGTGTCTTTAAAGGAGAATACAGTGAATTCAATGGCCTCTGGGAAGTTACTCAACTTGTAAGGCTCACACCTGTCTCAATAGGCATGGCACTCATGTGCACATACCTACTCTCTCTCTCTCTCTCTCTCTCTCTCACACACACACACACACACATATAATTAAAAGAGAAAATAAATCTCTTTTTGGAAAAAAAAAAGACTGATGGGGAGAGAGCAGAACATGGTACACTAGGGAACTAGCTAGAAAGCATCACCCTGGCAAAAGACAGTGCAGGGTACATGGAAAGTCTTCACAGATATAAAGAACAAGAGCCTCTCTGAGTGAAACTTCCCATTTGACTTTCAGATAAAACAGGTAAGCAGCCCTCCTGGGTAAGATCACTTTTCACCTATGATTACAGGACTTGAACAGAAAAGATGGGCTGCTGGAATGATTCTGCTTCTTTTCCAATTTTTAAAAATACTTTATTATTTTTATCTTATGTGTACGTGTGTATTGCCTGCATGTAGGTAAGTGCACCCGTGTTGTGCAATGCCCACAGAGGACAGAAGAGACTGTCAGATCCCCTGGAACTAGAGCCACGGACAGTTGTTAGCTGCCATGTGGGTGCTAGGAATCAAGCCCGGGTCTTCTGCAAGACCAAACAGTGTTCTTAACTGCTGAGCCATCAATCCAGCCCCGCTTTTCCAATTTTTCAAGCACAATATAATGTTAACATAAGTGTGTTCTGAAATCTTACCATTTCCTTTGTACCTGCAGAGCCAGATGCAGTTTTTCAGATTCATCTAGCTCAAAAGTATTTTCTCCTTTGAAACAGTTTTTAAACCATTTGCCTTAAAGGTTATGGGAAAACCGTAGTTAGTAAAAGGCAGGTAGCCATTTTCCACCTTATAACAGCTGCATGCAGAGCTAGAGAGCTGTGGTGGTTTGAATGAGACATGTCAGTGTCTGGGGAAAGTTGTGGTGCCTTATGGGAGGCGCAGCTTTGCTGAAGAGAGTATGACACTAGGGCGGGCTTTGGAGCTCATTTCCTTGCCCACTTCTGGTTGCCCTCTCTGCTTCCTGCACAAGCTCGAGGGACTGTTATTCCTTTGGAATGGTAAACCCCCCAAAACTCTTCCTTTTATAAGTTGCCTTAGTCATGGTATCTTATCACAGTGACAGAAATGTAACCAATACAAGATCCACATCCCTGCTTTGGCCCAAGGCGTGCCTCCAGGTCACTACATAAAGATCTGTCACCATCTGCAATGAGAAGTCTCTTTCTACAGGAGAAAAGGATGTACTTTTCTTGCCAATTAGGAAGGGTCACCCCTTGAGACAGAGGAATCCTAATGATCTGCTCTGTGTAGAAGGCTTACCTTAAAGAATATGCTAATCTTTTCTGCACTAATGCCTGGCCCTGGGATCGAAAGCCTCCCTTTTAAGCGGAATATGTAGTCCTAGCCTCCTACAAAATGATTTTAAAGAATTTGTCTGACCAGTTCTCATAGTTTCAGAGGACACTATGCAAAATGTCAAGGGAGAAAACCAATCAATGATCCTACCCAGCTGTAAAGTCTACAAACCACAACAATGACGGATTCAGCAAACTATCTCTATTGGTACAGCAGTGGCACTTTTATCTAGGGGCTAATCAACAGCTGTCTAATTGGACTTAAGATCCATTCAGTAGGCGGAAAATCTTGCGTGTTACTGTAAACAAAGGCAAGTATATATGGCTGGAGAGGTCACAGACCCTTAAGAAAAATCGACTTCTGCCACTTCCTTAGACCAATGTAGTTTCTCACTATATTCTAAATATGTATCCTTGTATTTACAGACAAGTGTACCTCTCAGCATTCATCAATGAAGCATCTTTTTGCAACAAATGGAGACTATTACAGAGTTCTATAACTGGTCAAGTGCCAAGAATAAGTGACTGTGAAATGCCCAGTCCTCAGTGACACATCTACAATGCAACCTCTACACCTAAGGTTCAGGGAACATCACAGAAGAGGGAGCAGAAAGAATATAAGAGCCAGAGAGACAAGACACCTGCTGCTTGTTAATGCATTCTAGACAGGATAGGGAAGCTTCACCAAAGAAATTTCCACAGTATGGTAGTCTAAGGAGATCAACATAATGACAAAGTCAGTTGACATGCCTATGTAATGGCAGAAATGTCACAGGGTCCCACCTCAAGATGAAGAGCTACAGGCAATCAATGGATGCTGAGGGAAGGGGAATCAGTTTTCTCCAGGGACTAGGTCCTTGAGAGGTTATCTAACCCCAACTGGGCAGCCCTAAACATAGGTACACATGAGCACCATTAAATGGACTCAGTGCATTATATACTTATATATTTATTTATGAATGTATGTATGTATATGTAACAATAATAATCAAAAAAGAGGATAAGAAATTCAGAGGGAGGGGCTGGAAAGATGGTTCAGTGGGTAAGAGCACTGGCTGCTCTTGCAGAGGACCCAGGTTTGGTTCCCAGCACCCACGTGGAGGCTAACCACCATCCTAACTCCAGTTCCAGTAGATCCAACACCCTTTTCTGAGCTCCACGGGCACTGCAAGACACAGGTGCACTTACATACATGCAGGTAATACACTCATACAATAAAATAAAAAATAAATATTTAAAAAAGAAATTGAGAGGGAATGAGGGGGCTTGGGAGGAGTTGGTAGGGGACTGGGAGGGATGGAAATAATGCAAAGACAATACTCATGTATGAAATTCTCAGAAATAAAAGATTTAGAAAAGAATCTGCCTGAAAGGTACACAACACTGTACGTACCACTCCAGCTCTTGGCCATCTTGAACATGTTTGCAGCCCTAGTGTACATTTCACAGGCCTCTTCTATTCTTGTGTTTCCTCTAAGAAAAAATTAAACAGGAGGTTACATTTTTTTGGTTAATAACCATCCACATCCCTCCTCCCTTCCTAGAACAAAAAATGTTTAATGAGCATTTCTGTGCATCAGACAAACTACAGAATCTTAACATCTGTTTAAGAGATAGATACTCTTCCTGTCTCTGTATTTCAGAAGAGGTAGCTGGGCCATGCAGAGGTAAAGTTACTGTCCCTGGCCACTTAGCAGATATTAGAGAAACAGCACACACACAGATCTAGTGAATCCATAGTCCATACCCTTAACCAGAGTCTGTTCTACACATAAGATATGGAAGTTTTGCTTTTTTAATTGAATTTTTGTGTATGTAATATAAACATCTCAATCAATCTTAATTATCTTTATACCTCCTTCCCCACTGGCACCCTCCCCACTGGAATTCATACACTCTGTCACTGTGTTAAGGTCTATTGTGTCAAGTTAGTGCTCCCAGATGTTCCTTAGAGCAAGTTCATGTACTGAGGTCTAGTAAGCCTATCTAGAGTCTCCCACTTTAGGAAGATCAGCTCTTCCTCACCCAGCAGTAAGGAAATGGAAGTTTTATATCAGGCTGGGTAAATATGCTTCTTTATATTAGAAGTATATTTTTCAAAGATTAAAATTTGAAGGATTGGGGCCGGAGACCTGGCTCAGCAGTTAAGAGCACTGGCTGCTCTTTGCAGAGGACCCAGGTTCGATTCCCAGCACCCAAAACCATCTGTAAGTCTGGGGGAATCAGATACCCTCTTCTGACCTCCACAGGCACTGCATAACATGGGTGCACTTACATACATGCAGGTAATATACTCCTCCACAAAAGACATTTATCTACCTTGTCTGTTTACATTGTAAATATAAAATCACCAGAGGAAAATTAAGACTCAAGTAACTGACTGCAGCACATGAGGAACTCAGGGTGGAGCAGGGAGACACGGAGATCTGAGATGGCTTGAAGGTGAAGAAGGGCTAGCATGTGTGCAGGGACGCTGAGCTGCAGCGGGGAAATGTAGCTCTGTCAGTGCATCATCAGTGCAGTGGGGCAGGAGCTGGAGAAAGCTCCTCTCTATGGACTGTAGCTGCCGAAGCTGTTCTTCTCAGAGACTTCCAAGAAGCCAGGATTCTTGACATCACAAAGAAAATAATTTCAGGTGAGTCAGTAGGAAGAAGAATTGGCATTTAGGAAGTTTTTTGTTTTATTTTTGAGACATGGTCTTGCCCCTAGATGGCCTGGTAACTTAGTATGTAGACCAGACTGGCCTCCAATTCACAGAGATCCACCTGCCCCTGCCTCTACCTCCCTAGTGCTGGGATTAAAGGCGTGTACCACTTCACCCAGCCAGGAAGAGTTTTTCACACAGATTTAAGCGTGGAGTTAGCAGAAAAGAAGCATGTGTACCAACAAGCATGGGCCTGGGCTTCTCAGAAGTCTCTCTTAGTATCTTCAGGAGAGCTACAGACAAGGTTTTGGGGGCTTCTGAAGTTCTACCTGAGGTGGCTAAGGAGCCAGAGATCCCAGGGTGCTTCCTGACATGCACTGGATAGCTGGACAGCTAGAAAGGCAAACCCTGCCACAAGGGCGCCACAGGGCGTTAAGGTATGATTTTACTGTAAACAAAATTTAGGGTCTTACTTGTGAGATTCCCTGGAAGCTGCAGGTTTCCACCTGGGAAATGAGTAAGGCTGTGCTTGAAGGTCACATACATTTAGGTCTTACGCATGGTTTATTGCATGTTAACATTCTCGTTTGAAATCTATATAAAAGTTGTATTGTCTCTCTGTAGGTAATCTTCACAGCACATTTTGTTAACTGTGCTGGAATTCTCAACTGTCAGTTGACAAGAGACTTCAACCAGACTTGGGAGTGAGGGTTGTTTTTCCTCCCTAAGTCCCCTTTAATTGTCCCCTTCTATCCCGCTTCATCTTTGGGCAGAGCCCAAGCTAATCAGGGAGGCCCAGATTTGACTCAGATCTTTGGCACTAATTACTAACAGTTTGACCTGAGTTACTTTTTTCTTAAGGTTTATTTTTTTATTATTTTTATTTACAACTATGTATGTGTGAACGTAGTGTTGGCGGAGGCCAGAAGAGGGTATCAGATCACTTGAAGCTGGAGTTATAGACAGTTGTGAGCTTCTGACCCTGGACGCTGGGAACCAAACTCAGTTCTTCTGGAAGAGTAGGAAGAGCTCTTAATCACTCATCCATCTCTCCAGTTCTCTCAGCCTCTTCTTTAACATCTCTGTACATAGGGAGCATAACATCATCTATAGCTGTGAGCTATTATGAGGATCAAAAGAAACAATCCATACAGAGTCACCAAACTGGAGCCTAATCATGGAGATCCTCAACCAGGATGGTTACCGTAACTACATCCACGTGCTGAAGGCATAAAAATCTTTGGGAATATTTCTGCCTCCTCCCAAACTCATGTTAAACTTTAATTCCCAATGCAAGAGACTAGGAAGTGAAGCTGAATGAAAAGCCTGCAGGCCATGATCAGTGGATCAGCACAGCTCTAGCAAGGGTTTCATTTGTCAGAGACAGGATTCCACTATGCTGCACTGGCTGGCCTCAAACTCACAGAGAACTGCCTGCCTCTGTCCCCAAGTGCTGAGACTAAAGGCATACACCACACCTGATTTCACCAACGGCTTGTGGGGTGGTGGGTTCTCTCTTCTTTGCTCCTCTTGCCCCATGAGCACAAAACATTCACCCCCCACCTTCAGACTTCTACCACGTGGAAGCAAAAAGACTGACAAAAGAGGTCAGTGCCCTGGCTTTATACTTTCCAGTCTCTAGAACAGTGAGAAATACGGACACTTGTTCTTCCTGAGTTACTCAGTCTCAAGTATTGTTACAACAGCTCAAAACAAACTTAAGATACCTGGAGTCAAGTCTGTTGGGGATGGGCTGGAAACGATGGCACAGCGGTTAAGAGCACTGGCTATTCTTAGAGGACCTGGGTTTAGTTTCTGGCACCCACGTGCTAGCTGACAACCATCTGTACCTCTAGTTCCAGGGGATCCAATACCTTATTCTGACTTCATCAGGCTCTGAATGCATGGTGCATTTACATACATGCAGGCAACACACACATATAAAACACAAATAATTATTTTTTTTTAATTAAAAAAAAGGAGGAAAAGCAAAGAGGGCTGCACCAAAAGGAAGAGCCAGCATAAGGAAAGCTGTCCCCTCACACCTCAGGTCCCTCCTCCCTACTTCAAATCTACATGCTTTTTTCTTCTCCCAATAACAACAACAACAACGAGCTAACAGGTTTTCCCGAATGAAAAATTCCGCACGTGGGAAGTTTCTCACTTTTAGTCACAGCTCCCTGGAGTTAATCAGAGCTCGCCTTTTCCTATGTCTGTTTTTCTATCAAGTACCAGGAATCTTAAACTGTAATTACAGTGCAATCATTCTTATTAAAGGTTTCTAAAGAAAAGGAATTTAATTAAAATGTATGTTATCCTATTTTCAAAGAGATGCAGCTATGAGCAAAACTCCTCCTGCATTTGCTAGGTTCACACCAGACAGCTCCACCGTAAGTCCTCTGTCTCACTGTAACAACCAGGAGAGACCCGGCTCACTCAGCCTGGGACAATGGTACAGCTGACTCCTGACTTCAGATTTAGACATCTTTATGAAAATACTGAACCAGTCTGGCCAGGAGACACTCCCCTCTCCTAAAACAAAATCACCATAAGCACCATCACTTTAAAAATTCTAGAGAAAGCCAGGCATGACAGCACATGCTGCAGTCCAATACTTGGAAGGTAGAGGCAGCAGGTTCAAGAGTTTAAGGTCACTCTCAGTGAGTTTAAGGCCAGCCTGGGCTACATGAAAATCTGTCTCAAAACAAACATACAAACAACAAACACCTAGAGAAGACTCCATGTCAAAACCAGAATTTGGGTTTGGGGTGTGATTCAGCTGCTAGAGTGCTTGCCTGGCATGTAAGAAGTCCTGAGTTCGAGCCTCACCCAACATCATAAACTGGACATGGTAGCTCACACCCTGTCATCTCAACACTTAAGGAAGTGAAGGCGGGAGGGTCAGAAGTTTAAAGCCACACAATGAGTCTGGGGCCAGTTTGGGCTATGTGAGAACTTGTCTCAATTTAAAAGAAGGAGGGGGGTGGGGGCAGGCATCTCGAGGAACTTATGAAAAACAAAGACCAGACTGCAAGATGGCTCAGAGGTTAAGGTACTTGCCACACAAGCCAGATGACCTGAGTTTGATTCCTTGAAACCATGTAAAGATGAAGAAATGATTCCACTGTTGTCTTATGATCTCTGCATGCAAGTGTACCCTAACATGCATGCCCCCCATCGTTAGACACACACACACACACACACACACACACACACACACACAAACACAAACTTAAGAGACCAAACAATATAACTATAAACTTCATGAAAAAAAGTATCATTAAAAGTACACCAATTGATTATGCACATGAAAGTTAACTGTTACAAGTTTTATATTCAGAATGTACATTCAAAGAGGTCAACTGATTGCTACTTTAAGCCCCATAGGGGGCAGATGATTCTTGGAAACACAACAAAGATTCTGTGAAAGAATCTCTGCTATGAAGTGGCATTGTATCAGTACACACACTCAAGTGGCATGGCGAAAGCTACGCTGAGCTCATTTAACTATTTTTGGTACATACAAAGGGTTTCTGTCTTTGAATAGGAAAACACGTCTACCAGGGAAGGAAACACCATGGGCTCAAGAGCTACCAGAAGCCTCAGCCCGATAGCCCTTTATTTCCCGGGAAGGCAGACTCCCCTCTTTTTGACCATGATTACTGAGCATACATTTGTTGAGATCAGAGGTCAGAGTGCTGAGGGAGAACCTCACACTACAGGGATGAAAGATGTCCAAGACAGCATGTCCAACTTCTCCCTGGCCCACTGTGGTCAAAGCTTCAGTGCTCCCTGTACCAGGGGTCAGTGAACAGGAGAGCTGTCAAAA